AATAAAAAAGGTTATGGGTATTAAATATGAGAACCACCTTATCATTCTCCTATATGGCTGACTTATCCTTCGTTTTTTTGGAATTAAAATGATATGAATATATACCCTGTTCGTACCTAATTCTTATGGACGAAGGGGGCCTATCTACTAAATGTTGTGCTGTACGTCCATATCAATAAATTTTCTCTGCAACGTTGTTCGTATGGGGGCAATGTGAAAATGCATCTCTGGTACATGAAAGATTCAACCTCTATGAAATATTATTAGATCATATTGTTCGATGTTCCGAGTTAGTGAGTCTGTTTAATTGTGGTCACGGGCAGAATGAAATTCCCAATAGCCACTCTGGGCCTAAAAGTGATGGATAATCGTAGCTTACCACCAATTGTCCTCCTTTCGAAAAAAAAAAAAAAAAAAAAAAAAAAGTTACCAATCACTTTTATATTTTGTCTAATTTTTTTTTCCAAGTCACAGAATAGTGATTAATTTGCTTGATTTATTGAAGCAGTGATTATTGAAAGCCATTGTGTTAGCGTAGTGATGATGAGTTAGAGTAGACCAGATTCAGTTTCGAAAATTTCCATCTCAATTATCATAAAATGTAGTTGGAGGTCAAAAATGGCGAGAGGGCCCTTACATTTAATAAAATAAATCAAAAGTCGTTGTCCCCAACATAAAAAAATCAAATGTTTTTTCCCCTCATGAATGGGATACAAAGTGCCTTTGAGAATATCTATATCCGTCACAGAAGATTTTCTTGTCTACTAAAAGGTGATGTACGTGTAAACTAGTCTGTTCTCGTTTTCTTTGCTCTTCCTTGTTCTATTAGAAACATCTCCTTTTGGAATTGATCTATGGCAACCATCAATGGCTTCCGATACCCTAACATGTACAAGTCCCAACTACTCCATACCACGTTTGCATATCAAAGATCATCATTCACCAAAATCCCATGTGATCGTCATCAATTGATCAGAAGAAATCATCATCAGAGACTAGTCACCTTGTAAGCTTCAGTTCACTAGTATTATATATTTTTCTGCATAAATCTTCCACTTATTGTTTTTCTAAATTGTCACAAAATCTGGCTGTGGTTAAGGGGTCACTCATGCGTCAAATAAATCCACACCAGATGCTCAACTTCCTGCTCATAACTCCCCATTATCTTCTTGGGGACATTATTTGAATCGTAGTTGTTATTTTTTTGATACAAATACAAATGATATTTTACTTTATAACTAATCTAAACTGCGGATGCTTTTGATTAACTTTACTTGGCACACATATTAACTCGGGTGCTTTTGGCCTTCGTTGCAGGAAAAACTAGATTGTAGGATTAATGTTGACAATCATAATACCTTCTTTGAGACACAAATGGGGACCCTTGCTAGCCCTTAAAGGTACTTTTTCAAACCTAATTATCATTAATTTTCCATCGTATTAACTTTTCTATTATTATTATCTGGATTATTAAGCTTCTAATTAGTATATTTAAATTTTGGGGTTTTAGGCAAGGTGGACATGGTAATAGAAACAGTGAAATCTGTGACACAGGTGGTGGAAGAGTTAGTTGAGGAGGTAGAGAAGGTTGCTGAGCAAGTGACAGACAAGCTTCCTGAGGATGCCAAGCTTAGAGAAGCTATGGAGTCCATTGAACATCTTGCTGACGAGGCAGTCAAGAAAGCTGAGCTAGCCAAGGATGTCATTCACAAGGTGAATAATTAAGGGAAATGATAAAGACACTATTTTTTTCTTCTTACACATCCAGTTTAATTATATCTTTTGTTTTTATTTGATTTATTCAATCATCGATAAAAATATTGTGGGAGGCTAAAAAATGTAAAATCAGCTCACATAATTAATTACTATTGCGTTACAAAATTGTAATTTGCTTTGGATTTTCAAAAGCATTTTTTCACATTGTAGGTGCATTATTGATGAATGGTGACACTATTTTTCCACAATGTAAAATGTCTCATATATTTTAATTGCAGGTAGAGGAAATGGAGAAAGACGTTGAGAAGGCACTAACAACTGGATCAGATACTATTGATCCTGGGAAGGGAGAGGTCCTTGACTACACTACACTACCAATTTATTGAGATTTTCTCATTGACGACATGTAGCTTCAGGTTTAGTCATCAATTACAAGTTTTCTTCCCCCTCAGAACAATTAGTAAGAAGTAAGAACTAACTCTCGGATAGAATAATCCTTGGTCCCCTCAAGGCCTCAAGCTCCAATCTAGTTTAATTTAAGATTTTTTTTTTCTGCTTTTTCTTTTTGGAAATAAATCAAATGTTATCCTTAATGCAGAAAAGATTGAACTTCTGAGTACAAAAATAATCAAAGCTTATCCTATTTTGGTTCGATCGATTAGTGGTTGTTGAGTCGTTAAGAGTTTGTTATTTGTCACCGTTGTTTTCTTTTGAGCGCAAGGTAGCATCAAGCTTTACCTTATGTAGTGTAACCTCAACTGTCAACTCTGTTTCTCCAAAGTGGTGTGACATGCAATATATTGAAAGTTAACAGGAGTTGCTAAAGAAATAACACTACTACAAAAGGACCTAATAGTGTCAGTTGTTGCGTCGGTTTAATATTATATAGTGGCGAAAAAGAGATTTGCGACACTCACTGAAGATGACGTCGTATTTACTGTCGCTTATAAGCGTCATAAAATTTCTATGTCGCTTTTAAACCGACGTAAAAATTTAGTGTCGCTTATAACCGACATATATTTTAATATTTTTAAGTACTGGCGTCGCTTTAAATAAAATAGTGTCGCTTTTAAGCGACATAAACTATGGGTGTCGGTTTTAGGCGACACTAATTCTTGTTTTTAATATTTTAAATCCTGCGTCGGTTTTGAGCGCCATATATATTTTGAAAACCAGTGTCGGTTGTAAGCGACACATTGATCGTCTTTATATCCTCTCCCCCGTGTTTTCTTTTTCTTCTCTTTCACTTTTCTTATTCGTTCTTCCAATTTTTACAAAGTCTCCCGTGTTCTCTCTCTTTCAGCTTTCTCCTTTGGTTTTCAAACTTCATTTGTTCCTCTTCACAACAGTAAGTTTTTCTTGCTTATAATATTTTTATTTTCTCCTCTTATGTTTAATTTTTAGTTACAATTTATTTTTGTAGGAAATTTATTTGAGTTGGTTGAGTACATAAAGAATTGTTGACGTCGAAATTCTTCAACAAATTAGGTTTGTATCACTAACTTCTTTAATTTTTAAATTGTATAATACACAAGTTTATTTATTCAAAAATTATAATTTAAGCACTTAGATAAAATTCTACTATTTTTGTTAAATTAATAAAAATTTAGTCGAATTAATTAATTTTGTCACTCTAATTGTTATTTTAATTTGTTGTTATTTTGATAATTTTTTGTTGTTATTTACTAGAATGGATTAGATGAACATAATTTGAATTGTTATGAGAAAATGGAATGAATAATATTTATAAGCATTTATGTTAAATTAACAATATTAAATATAACATAAACTTATAATATTGAGTAATATAAGAATATATTATGTTAATTTTTTTTTTTTTGCACTCTAATTGTTATTTTAATTTGTTGTTATTTTGATAATTTTTTGTTGTTATTTACTAGAATGGATTAGATGAACATAATTTGAATTGTTATGAGAAAATGGAATGAATAATATTTATAAGCATTTATGTTAAATTAACAATATTAAATATAACATAAACTTATAATATTGAGTAATATAAGAATATATTATGTTATTTTTTTTTTTTTGCACTCTAATTGTTATTTTAATTTGTTGTTATTTTGATAATTTTTTGTTGTTATTTACTAGAATGGATTAGATGAACATAATTTGAATTGTTATGAGAAAATGGAATGAATAATATTTATAAGCATTTATGTTAAATTAACAATATTAAATATAACATAAACTTATAATATTGAGTAATATAAGAATATATTATGTTAATTTTTTTTTTTTTTGCACTCTAATTGTTATTTTAATTTGTTGTTATTTTGATAATTTTTTGTTGTTATTTACTGGAATGGATTAGATGAACATAATTTGAATTGTTATGAGAAAATGGAATGAATAATATTTATAAGCATTTATGTTAAATTAACAATATTAAATATAACATAAACTTATAATATTGAGTAATATAAGAATATATTATGTTATTATTTTTTTTTTTTTGCACTCTAATTGTTATTTTAATTTGTTGTTATTTTGATAATTTTTTGTTGTTATTTACTAGAATGGATTAGATGAACATAATTTGAATTGTTATGAGAAAATGGAATGAATAATATTTATAAGCATTTATGTTAAATTAACAATATTAAATATAACATAAATTTATAATATTGAGTAATATAAGAATATATTATGTTAATTTTTTTTTTTTTGCACTCTAATAAGAATATAACCTAAACTTATAATATTTAGGAATATAAGAATATAAGAATATAACCTTTCATAAGAATATAACCTAAACTTATAATATAAGAATATCCTTTCATATAAGAATATAACCTAAATTTATAATATTTAGGAATATAAGAATATAAGAATATAACCTTTCATAAGAATATAACCTAAACTTATAATATAAGAATATCCTTTCATATAAGAATATAACCTTTCATATAAGAATATAACCTAAACTTATAATAATTAGGAATATAAGAATATATTAATTAATTTTTTTTGCACTCTAATTGTTATTTGAATTTGTTGTTATTTTGATAAGTTTGATAACTTTTGGTTGTTATTTATTAGAATGGATTAGATGAGCATAATTTTGATAACTTTTTGTTGTTATTTTAATTTGTTTTTACTATAATAGGTGTTGAAAATTAAAAGATTGCAATCGTGATAGAGTTCGAGGGGTGAAAGATAGAAATTGAAAATTTTGATAGTTATGCCTACATGATAGGGATTGAAAGATTGTAGGCATCTTAGTGTCAACGTAATATTTTACCTTCGTAAAGTGGTAAAATATGGACAAGAGTTGGTTGACAATACCCCGAAATTTTGAAGCGTATACAACTGGAATTAATTTGTTTTTGGATCAAGCAGTTGCAAATGGTGTTGGTCCTGATAAGTTTAGATGTCCTTGCAAAAGATGTTGTAATCGATATACTTTTGTTAGGAACACCATTGTTGAACATCTCATATTGTATGATATGGATAAAGATTATAAAAACGCTTGTTGGCGACATCATGGCGAGCAAAACATTGGAGAGCAAAATGTGGGAATTGGAGAAGAAGAAACAGGAGATGAGGTGATTGGCATGCATGATTTTCTTAATGATGTATTTGTCCAACCATTAACAGAAGAAGGTGTTGGGCCATCTACTGAGCCCCCTATTGGGGAAGGGCGTCCAGAAGAGGTGAAGACTTTTTTTAAGTTGCTTGAAGATGCAGATCAAGATTTGTGGCCAGGTTGTAAGGAGTTTAAGAAATTGGAAGCAGTTGTAAGATTGTATCAGATCAAGCGTTTAGCGGGAATGCCTGACGAGATCTTCACCACTTTACTGGAGTTAATTAAAAGAATGTTGCCTGAAGGGGATTGTTTGCCTGAATCCTGTTATAAGGCAAAAAAACTTATAAATGACTTGGGGCTGTCGTATGTGAAAATTGATGCATGTCCCAATGATTGCATGATTTATTGGAAAGATACTTCAGATTTGACCGTGTGCTCAGTTTGTGGTAAATCAAGATATAAAATTACCAATGCAGAAGATAGCTCGAGGAAAAAGGTCGCAGCAAAGGTTATGTGGTATTTTCCTTTAAAACCACGATTGCAACGATTTTTTATGTCGAAGCATATGGCTGAACATATGAGATGGCATGCAACTGAATGTCCTAAGGATGAGTTTATGAGACATCCTTCAGATTCTCCCGCATGGAAGCATTTGGATAATTTATATCCGGATTTTGCGTCAGAAATTCGAAATGTCCGATTAGGGTTAGCCAGTGATGGATTTAATCCTTTTGGGAAAATGAGGAATGATCATAGCACATGGCCTGTGGTGCTTTCTGTTTATAATTTGCCACCTTGGATGTGCATGAAGCAACCAAATTTGTTATTGTCTTTGTTAATACCAGGACCGCGCAGTCCTGGTAAAGAGATTGATGTATACATGCGTCCATTGATTGACGAGCTGAATGAGTTGTGGGAGGTGGGCATTCCCACTTATGATGCGTATTCCAACCAAAGTTTTACGATGAAGGCTGCCGTGTTATGAACTATAAGTGATTTTCCGGCTTATGGAATGTTGTCAGGATGGAGCACACATGGTTATAAAGCTTGTCCACATTGCATGCATGATAAAGAATCTATTTACTTGCCAGCGAGTCGCAAGATTTGTTATATGGGGCATCGACGTTTTCTTGAAGATAATCATAGGTTTCGAAGGCAAACCATCACTTTTAATGGTCGTCGAGAGCATCGTAGTGCACCAAGGCAGTGGACTGGTTTACAATGTCTCGAAGAACTTTCTACATTGAGATTTACTTTTGGAAAACCAAACAAGGATGCTTCAGTTGGGCAACGCAGAAGAAGAGCTTCGAGCAGTACAAGTAGTAACAGTCAGTGGAAGAAGAAATCGATTTTTTATGAACTACCTTATTGGAGGCATCTGTTGATTAGACACAGTCTTGATGTTATGCATATCGAGAAGAATATATTTGACAGTGTGGTGGGAACATTGCTAGATATAGAAAAGTCTAAAGATGGATTGGCGGCACGTGCAGATCTTGAATTCTTGAACATAAGACATAGTCAACACCCACGTAGAGAAGGAAATAGAACATTTCGACCTCCAGCATTGTTCACATTGAAAAGAGAAGAAAAAACTGCGTTTTGTAAAGTATTGTCTACTATTCGGGTCCCAGATGGATATTCATCAAATCTGTCGCGATGTGTGCACGTGAATGAACGAAAAATACATGGGTTGAAAAGTCATGATTGCCATGTTTTAATGCAGCAGTTACTCCCGCTTGCAATACGTCTGGTTTTGCTTAAAGCTGTTACTATGGTTTTATTAGAGTTGAGTGCAATTTTCAGACAGTTATGTAGTAAGAAGGAGTCTGAGGAAGGATTTAAGCAACTGAATTCAAGAATTGCCTTGACATTATGTCAACTTGAGAAAATATTCCCTCCTGCATTTTTTGATATAATGGTGCACCTCCCAGTTCACTTGGCAGATGAAGCAGCTCTTGCAGGGCCTGTTCAATATAGATGGATGTATCCAATTGAACGGTAATGAATAAATTTTTATAATTTTTTTACAATTGTAGTCATAACTTTAATTAATAATTATAATAATTTGTATTTCGTTTTATAATTGTAGGTATTTGCAAACACTTAAGCGCTATGTTCGTAATAAAGGTCGTCCTGAAGGTTCTATTGCTGAAGCATATTTGGTGGATGAGTGGTTGTCATTTTCTTCCATGTATCTTAGAGACGTTGAGTTTCGTCGTACCCGTAAAGGCCGAAATGAAGATGGTATTGGACGTGGAGTATCTGGTGGGTTATCAATTTTTGACTCGAAAGGATGTTATATGGGTTCAGGAGAAAATGTGGAGCTCGATCTAAATGTTCTTGATCAGTGCCATAGATACATTCTAAATAATTGTGATGAGGTTAGCCCATTTAGAAGGTAAGAACGTTTAATCATACGTCTTAATGTTTTATTGGTTTTCTTAACTTTGAAAAAATAATTATCTAAATTGGACATAATTGTGTAGGCAACATGAAGAATTCTTGAAAACTAAACATCGTCGAGAAAGGTTAACTATGCGAGAAATTAAGGAGCTAAGCAAGAAAGAATTTCCAGAATGGTTCAAGCAACATGTGAGTTGATATAACAATCATATTATTTATTTATTGTTTTGCATTTTAATTATAACATGTTTATAGTTATTGTGTCAATTTTTATCTTAATACTTATTACAGATGAATTCAAGATATGATGCTAATGACACATTGATATCTCAAGACTTGCATTGGCTAGCTAATTATCCTAGTAGGGTTGTGAGTAGATACAAAAGTCACATTGTTCATGGATTTAGATTTCGTATAAAATCTGTGGATGATAAGCATAAGAATCAAAATTGTGGTGTCTTTGTACCTGCAAATGTTCCTGGAGCAATTGGGCAAGTGAATTGTTATGGCAGAGTTGTAGATATGTTCGAGGTCAAATATTGTGGTCCTACTGAAGCAGGAGATAGAGGTCGAGCTGTGATGTTATTTAAGTGCGAATGGGTTAATAGTGAAAGTCCACGAGGAATGAAGACTGATCAATATGGATTTACTATGGTGAATTTCAATCAATTGGGATTTAAAGATGATCCTTTCATACTAGCATCACAAGCATTACATGCATTTTACGTGGAGGACACGATTGAAAAAGGTTGGCACGTAGTTGTTCGAACTCAGCCAAGAGATTTATTTGACGTGTTAGAGGATAGTGATGCTATTGATGATTATGCCATGCCGAACTTGGATGATCGAATTCTTGATAATGAAAATTTCCTTACAAGGGTTGACGTGGAAGAGACTCCCTTTCTTGAATCATTAGCGTTGCCTACCGAGTTCGTTAATCATGCAAATACCGACGATGAGTTAACAGATGATGACAGGGAATAAATATATTAATTATTTTTTGTATTAATTAGACTTTGTTTCATTTTGTATGCTATGATATCCTATCATAAAATTATATTTCTGTTTTTTTTTTTTTTTTTTCTTGTTTCCTGTCGCTTTTAACCGACGGCAAATGTCATGTGTGTCAGACTTAGCGTCGGTTTTAACCGACGCAACCTTAGCCTATTCCGACGCAATGTTAACCTAGCGTCGGTTTTAACCGACGCAACCTTAGCCTAAACCGACGCAACGTTAACCTTACGTCGGTTTTATGCGACGCATTATTATCATATTTCGACGCAATGTTGTGAATCATATGTAATAATTATATATAATTTAACAGTTTTAAAAACTATAATAATTATATATATTAACTTAAAAACTATAATAATTATATATTAATTTAACAGTTTTACACCCCTAAAGACTATAATAATTATAATTATTATTATATATAATTATATATATTAATTTAAAAACTATAATAATTATATATTAATTTAACAGTTTTATATAATTATATATATTAATTTAAAAACTATAATAATTATATATAATTATATATTAATTTAACAATTTTACACCCCTAAAAATTATAATAATTATATATATAATTATTATACGAATTCTACGAAACTAATTTCAACGATCCAACCGTCAAACATGTTTGTATATAATTCGAGATCGTATACGAAAAAAATCGCAAAAAACAAACATTCTGGGATGAAGTAACGGGACAAAAGATTTCGACGGTTATCAACGAAAAATGACGATTTAACGGTTATTTTAAGTCCGATTTTGATGATTTTTTGCAGCTACACTCCTTGAACCTATATGAATACAATGAATGAATTCGATCTTCAAATTAAAATATTTATACTAGTGGATACCACAAAATCTTACGTTATACTTAATGAAAGTGTGATGATCAATGAAAATTGATGATTTTGTAAAAAGAATAAAATGCAAGCTTTGAGTTACATTGGCAAGGTTTAAACTTTTGAGAAATGCTCATCTAATCCATTATAGTAAATAACAACCAAATGTTATCAAAGTTATCAAAATAACAACAAATTAAATGTTATCAAAGTCATCTAATCCATTATAGTAAATAACAACCAAATGTTATCAAAGTTAAACTTTTGAGAAATGTTACCAAATGTTATATTACTAAATATTATAAGTTTATGTTATATTTAATATTGTTAATTTAACATAAATGCTTATAAATATTATTCATTCCATTTTCTCAAAACAACTCAAATTATGTTCATCTAATCCATTCTAGTAAATAACAACAAAAAATTATCAAAATAAAAACAAATTAAAATAACAATTACAGTGCAAAAAAATTGATTCAACTTAATAAATTTATTTATTAAAATATTATATGAGATAACATAACTGATTACTTTTTAATTTTGGATTAAAATTTTTTAATTTTTTTGTTTCTATTTTTATCCTTGTTCTTTTTTTTTTTGTAACTTAAAACTTTTTTTTTTATGTTGGGCGGGAATTTTCCTGGTTTTTTTGCACGGGGGAATGGGTTGGAAGACTTTGTCAGTCATTATCATATCAAATTATGCTTATAGTGGCTTTAACCGACGCAAAATTATACAATTTCGAGAGTATCTGCTACAATGGATTTTCTGTCAGAGACACTACACAAATTTGTTCTTATTTCGACGCAATGTGGCCTAATTTCGACGCTACTGACATAGTATGTCAGCCTATAATGATGGTTGAGTCAGACGGCACTGTCCTCAGTCAAAAGCTATAAGACATAGTGTCGGTTTTAAGCGACACAATGGGTCCTTATTTCGACGCAATGGGTCCTTATTTCGACGCAATGGGTCCTTATTTCGACACTATGCCACATAACGTCGGTTTTAACCGACGCAATGGTCTGAAAATTATGTCAGGCTTTCTGCCCAAAGTATGTCAAGCCCAAAGTATGTCAGGTCTGTAGCTTTCTGCCCAAAGTATGTCAGGTCTGTGTAGGCTTTCTGTCAAAGTCAGACCTTGTGTCGGTTTTAACCGACGCAAAGTGTTCATATTTCGACGCTATGCAATTATCCACATTTAATCTTCTTGATTTCCTATCTCGTCTCTATCCCCCACTTCCCCACCCGCTTCCCCACTTCTGTCTCTCGTCTCTATCCCCCACTTCCCCACTTCTGTCTCTCCTCCCACTTCTGTCTCTCCTTTCTATCCCCCACTTCCCCACTCCTGTCTCTCATCTCTATCCCCCACTTCAGCCATATTCGTTCCACTTCTGTCTCTCGTCTCTTTCCCCCATTTCAGCCATATTCCTTCTCCTTCCATTAAATTTTGCTATGGATAGTTCTCGTGAAGATCAACGTTCTGAAGAACGTCACTTGGAAGAGGACGAGGGTGATGCTGGTTCTTTTTTGAATTGTTATTAATCTCAGTTTTTATTTTTATTTTTTTGTGTGTGTGTTTGAACTATTATTATTGCTAAACTGAAAATATACATTTGTTTCCTGGTTTTTAATTGTGTGTTTGTATTAACAAGGTACATCTCAACGGAGGCGTGGACCCTCAATTCCTAAATGGACGAAACAGCTTTGTTCGTTTGATTCGTCCGGAAAATGCATTAGTGATAATGCTAGTGCTTTTTCAAAACATGTAGCAGCGGAGGTTAGGGACTATAGAAATCTGCCGTTGGAGAAAGATTGGCGTAAGGTTACGGAAGAAGATAAGGAAGCTTTCTGGAATAGAATAAAGGTATATATAGATGTTTTTATTTTTAGTTGAAAATAGAAGAATAGGTCAATGATTGTAATAATATTTGACTAGCGTGATTTTTTTTGTTTTTTGTTTTTATGTATGTACGGAAATATTTTTTTTGAAGATGCAGATATAGTAAAAATGCCTTTGATCCGTCATATGACGCTTAAGATTGCAGAGCATGCGCACAAAGAGTTTAGAAATAAGTTAAAAAAAAAGTATTATACTAAAAGAGCAGAAGAGGTGCGCAGCGAGCCTCCTCCTGATGTGATTCCTGCCCAGTGGGATGATTTGTTGGCATATTGGAATAGAGACAAAACAAAGGTAAACCTTACACGATTTATTTCGTTATAACTTTAAAGTTGCCTAATATAATCTTTTTTTTTTTCGTTCGTTTTTTTTCAGGAGGTTGCTGAAAAAAATAAGATTAATCGGGGATTGAAATCAATGAACCATACTACTGGTACAAAATCCTTTGCAAGAGTGCGGGAAGAATATGTATGGATTGTACATTTTGAAGAGATGATTAATTTTAAATAATTATATTTATTTTTAGTATGAGGTTTGCTTAATTTGTTTGTATGAAATTTTATTTTTGATAAAGTGGAAGAAGCATGGGAAAGAAGCAGATCCTGTAACCTTTTTTCGTGAATGTCATACACGAAAAGATAAAACATGGATTGATGAAACATCGGAGCGTACAGGGGTAATTGATTTTTTCGTGTTAGTATTTGATTTTATTAGTATTTATTATCTATATCTTATTTTTTTGTTTTACGATTGAATTTTTGTTTTTAAAAATTGTAATGCAAGTCAACAATGGAGAGCAACCTGCAAACATTGATTGAGTCGGGCCAAGACGATAATGAAGATCTTAGGACCCAAGTTTATGTTGATACTATGGGTCCTGAGAGGTATAATAGAGTCAGAGGATACGGTCATGGTGTGACTCCTGATATGGTGTCTTATGCATCTTCTTCATCTTCTACATCAATTTCCTCCAGGAGATCATCTAAGAGTTCAATGGCGTTGCTGATGACTCAAAATAATGAGTTGAAAATGAGGGACGAAAATAATAATAAACGGATTTCGGACCTAGAGAACAAGCAAAATCAGTTGTTTGCATGGTTTTTTCAAAGATTTCAGCCACAACCACCGTATAGCCCGGGAACCCAACAATCAGGCCACAGTCAACCTCCTCAACAGTCGGGCCAAAGTCAGCCTCCCCCTGCATATCCGTATATTGGCCATAATCAGCAACCTCCATATCCTGTGTATCCGATGCCTGCGCAGCCCATGCCATACATGCAGCAGCCGCCCATGCCATACATGCAGCAGCCACCTTATCAAGTGCCAGTATATCGACCTGAGATGGCTGCTCCTAGTGGATCTTTTCCTGAAGTTCCAGTTGGGGGATTTTCTGGAATGCTTGCAGGTGTTGGATTTGATGTGGACTTGTCGAGGATTTTTGGATCAGATGGAGGATCTCAAGGAGGAGGATCTCAAGGAGAAGGTTCTCAAGCAGAAGGATCTGGACGACGTTCAGGCGCAGATTCGGTTGGGTAGTTTAATTGGTTCTTTTTCTTGTCGGTTAAATACGACAGTATAATTGGTCTATCTTTTTGTTTTTTAATGTTATGTTTGTAATGTCGGATTTAATGTTTGTTACGACGGACGACTTTTTGGATTTTATGTGAAATGTTAGATGTACAGTTTGGCACTATTGTTTTTGTTATTTATTTTCATTAATGTTTATTTAGATCTTAAAATTTATAATTTTGATTATATAATTTACTTTAGTTGGAATTAATTAAAATTGCATGCAGTTGTCCATCTATTTTTATTATTATTAACAAATATAGTGTCGGTTAAGACCGTTACTAGATTTTATATTTTATTTATTTAATTGTTATCTAACGTCGGTTTAAGGAATATTTTATTTATTTAATTTTAATATAATGTCGCTTTAAAGCGACAGTAGACTGCATACTTTATAATTAAATAGCTGATGCACGTGTAAGTATGCGTCGCTTTAAACCGACGTTAAAGTTAGTGTCGCTTTAAAGCGACACTGTGTAGTGGTGGATTAAGCTCAAAAAGCGACACTGAAGCCCTTTCGCGACGCTAGCAATAGTGTCGCTATTGAAAAGCGACATTACATTGTTTAATGTCGGATTTGTGCCAAATTTTCGACAGAAATTTGATTTCTCGTCGGTTTGTTCTCTGCCGGTGATAGCATATATTGTAGTAGTGTAAAATTTAAGTGAGAGGGAAAATAAAAAGACTGCATAGGGAGTGATATTATTCAATGATCCTGCAGTTTATTTATTTGTTTGAGCTGATTAGTATTTTTAATCTCTTTACATTTCTCTATATTTCTAGTCATCAAAGTGGATAAATTACGTAGAAACAACGAATATGATTAAATAAGGGTGTGTGAAAGGAGAAAAGCATATGTGTTTATCATTTTTCTTGTTTCTACAACGATATATTAATTTACACTAAATTCATGTAAAGCACGGGTTGGAGGATTCAAATACGAACCAAATACAAGAAAAAATGCTCTTAACCAATTAAGTTATAATCCCTTTGCAAATTCAACTTTTTATTCAACTTATTAAACTTGAAAATGGCAGAAGAGTAAATCAACTCTCTTTGGTTGAAAAAGAGAATTCTCTTAAATGGACTTTCTGTAAACCATCATGGGTTTCAGGCCAATGAACTTGTGCCCCTGTAGTGTTCAGAGGATGGGAATCTTGTGGGATTCGGAGCTTTCTTGCGGAGGTGACGTAAGTGATTTCCTCATCGCGCGACGAGCCTTTACTCGGATCACCGATATCTGTTAGGGTCGAAGTAGTGGTCGACATGATGACCTCTCCCTCAGGGTTTATGATACTTATGTTACCATATTTAGAAGCAGGAATCTGAGTTTGGGGGGTAGTCCCACTGGAGTTCTTTAAATTCTTCATCCGTTTTTCGATGTCCACAAAGTTAGCATGGCTCTTTGCCCGAGAGGCCACGAGAGTTTTCTGTAGCTTGTCAACATAATCGTTGATGTTTGTCAAGGCCTCCCAAATCTGTTCCATGGATGGATGAGGCCGGTTCACTGGGACCTCATTGTTTCATGGGGTGGCTGTCGTCTCCAGAAGTTTGTTGCTTGCCCTAGGAATGATGGAGACATGGGCAAGCCGGTTGCACTAGTCGGGAGAGAGATTTTTTTAGGATTGAATTCTATATTAAGCTGGGAGAATCCTAGAGGATATCTACGAGGAGATATTGCATCCTCTTCGAAGTATGCTTGCTTGCGGCACACGCAATTCCTAGATTGTTGGAACTACAACAATACAGGAACCTGGCTGATTCCATGCTGGATCATATTCCCGTGTCTTACGGAACAAACGTGGTCAATATCAGTGAAGTTGTTTGGACTTCACCCTTTGCTACAAAACAGGATGATGGTGACACTACTGATCCGTTAGTTTAGCCCCGCTTAGAGCTATTGAGTCCATGACCAGACTTTCAAGGTATTTGTATTTTGATCCGCCTTCCTCCCCTGGAAAATCATGGTCCCACAAACATTAGATAACCAGCCCCCAAGTTCATGTTATAAGGAATAGTTCAAACCGTTGCTAGCTTCCAAGCTTGATTTTGCATGACAATTTTCTTGTTGTACTTGAACTTGAAATTTCATTGTCTTTTACAGCATTGCATGCATGAGCATGTGAAAGGAATCAAAATTTGGCTTTGATGGAAGAGACATGTAGCTACAAGAAGAAGCTTCAGGCACTGCTGAATGAAGTTTTAGTTGCCGGGGGAAGCTTCCGGCGCTGGTGAATGAAGTTTCAATTGCTAGGGAAAGCTTCTGGTACTACTGAATGAAGTTTTAGTTGCTGCTAGGGAACGCTTCTGGCACTGATGAGTGAGGTTTTAATTGTTGGGGAAAGCTTCCAGCATTGCTGAATAAAGTTTTAGCTGTTGGGGAAAGCTTTAATTGTTGGGGAAAGCTTCCAGCATTACTCATTTAAGTTTTAATTACTCATTTAATTGTTGGGGAAAGCTTCCAGCATTGCTGAATAAAGTTTTAGCTGATGAGTGAAGTTTTAATTGTTGGGGAAAGCTTCCAGCATTACTCATTTAAGTCCTCATACAATTCCAATAATTGAAATAACAACATTTTTCTGCTACACCCAAGCAAGTCTTTAATTATAATCCATATGATTACAAAGTAAAGCTTCTAAAAACAAAAAGTAGTCATTATCTCGAATACTAAATGATTCAAAGCTCCAAAATATTTCGATGAATACCCATTATAACTGCCACCTCCAGGCTTTGGAAGATCAGTTAGGATTCCCTTGTAAGCATTTTCAGAAGTTGAAACATGATTCGTAAACACACAATAACCATTTCATTCCCCGTTCCTAATAGCATCAATGGCAACTGAAACATGATTTAAGAAAACCATTTCATTTCATTAGTCCGAACACACAATAATCATGTGAGCATCGATTATTTTGTAAATGGATACCTGTTATAACTGCAGAAAATTCAAAGCTCCAAAATAAATGGGTAAATGGATATCCTTTATATTAAATTAAATGGGTAAATGGATACCCGTTGTAACCACAGGTAATACCCATAACCGATGGATACCGGTTATAACCGCGAGTAATACCCATAACCGCCCCATTTAAATTTCATGGATAAATGATTATACCCATAACTGTTTGTTCATCTAAACGGTTACCTATAACCGTAACCGTGAACTTTAAATAAACGGGTAACCGCGATTACCTAAATCCATGAGTATTTTGCCCATCCCTATTCCTAAGTCACGATATGCATGAGTAACATGTAAATATCAAAATTATCAGTTGACATGGTATAAGTGTGAAACCGGGAGTTTATAAAATATGCATTTGACTTTCTAATTGATTTAAGGAATAGAAAAGCAATATACAAAAAATAGCATGGGTTAAAAGAGTGCTTATCTTCCGTACGGAGCTAAGCTCAAGGGAGTTGTTGGTAGCAGTGATATGGATGTTATGGCTGCATGAGAGGTGGCCTGCATGACAACTTTGACAATGGCATGGTGGCTTGAGTTGGAGTTTGCCATCGTTGTGGTTGTTCCTCCTTCTCTTTCTGACGCCTCTGTGCTTAACTATGATAAATTAGCAGAGTTTGCTTGGCTTTGATAATTGATGGTAGTTGAGCACGACATTTTGCTTGTAGGCTAGTACATGAGGGGATGGAAAAAGTATCCCCCATGTCCCTTATAGTTCCACAATTATTATGAGTTGTTTGTGGATTCCTTTCCGGCATACGTATGCACCATTATGCTCAACAGTGACGTTCCCCCCCCCCCCCCCCCCCCCCCCCCCATCTTTATACTCAATATGGTTCGGCGATTTAGTGGTGCATGCTAATAAAAAGTTATTATGCTAGCACGGGCATTATAAATTGTAGGTACCAAGGAATCTTGCTCATTCAAATTGGATGGTGGAACGTAGTAGGCAGAGGCTCTAGTAGAGCTGGCTTGGACTCTAGCGATGTCACGGGAATATTGAGCATGGACAATGGCATGGTGGTGTCGATGTCTCGAAAAGAAACCTGAAGCATGTGAACGAAAAATGAAAAGGGATCCGAGGATGATAATGTCCTTGGATCTTGCTGTGGAAAAGTGAACTGGGCATTATGAAATTTTTTTTTCTTTACCGGCATAGAGCCCCCGAGTTGCTGAATTCATTTTGCTTGAGGGTAGACATCTGAAGCATAAACCCATAGAAAAGGGTAGCTAATCTTTATGCATAGTTATTTGAAAGAAAATATAGGTATAATAAAATTTGAGAGAAAACTCGTATCTTTCAATTCTTTTTGGCAGCTTGTGCATCAAAAGTCTGTTAAGGTAGGGAGCCCCTAAGTTGCTGGACTTTCCAGTTTGTCATTGACTTGGTGCTTTCCATCACAACAACACAATGCATATTTGTCTTTCCTAAGCACTCGACAAGCCCCCTTAAGTGGCTTGAGCTCATTTAAACATGTCGCCTGCTTTGCGTGACTCGAATTAATGTATTAATATTATCATACAGCTTAGCATGAAAAATATACATGAGTTGTATGAGATGGGCATCTAATAGACTATTATTTTATTGATATGGCATGATCATAAATATGCATGCTCTTCATTTCGTACTTTATGCATAGATTTAAGCTCGGTTTGCGACACTTGCACAACGATTGGGCTTTTAAGTGACGTTTTTAGGCCCTAACATATCCAAAATATTTGTAGTAGTAAAACTGCTATCATTTCACTTTAAAAAGACCAGGCATTCTGTAGAGACAATTTTTATCTTGTAAAAAGTAGGTTAAAAGTCTTCGATATGTTAGTTAAAAGGTTAATTACAAGCATTGCGATATTGGTGCATTGAATTTTTCATAATCCCCTTTTATATTGGGTAGTTAAGATAAAATTATAGTTGCAAAGTGATTGTCTAGGTGGGGGAATCTCTCTCCCCACCACCAAATTGTATAACGTATTGTTTGTGTGTAAAGCTAATCAAACAAGCAAAGCAAGCAAGGAATTTTTCCAACCTTTGTACTAAACGCAATGACCAACAATTACGTTTGTATTCAATCCTCGTAGCTTTTGTTTTGCCAAATCCTAATTCCTAACACCCCATTTCTTGAAGGCACACTACTCCCTCCCTCTCTCCCTCCCCCTCCTTGTGTTTCCCAACCACCCCACCACCACACCCACCAAATTTCCAATTTTCTTTCTGTGTACATTTTCAATCCTCAACAAATTAAGCAGTTTTCAATTTCTGATCAATCACACACATCAATGGCTGGGTGGATATCTAATAACACAAAGTTGAATCCTAAAGCTGTTGACGGGAACGAAATGTTTCTGGGTCTAACTGCTGTTTCTCACAAGACTGCTGGCTTACACCTCATACAGAACTGCGATCTTCCTCCACCCTCGAAACTCTTTACGGGTTCGGGTCAAACTGTTGTGTCATCCATGAAAAGGGTTTGCAGCGTGAACTCGGATCGCCATAATGATGATCACACGGATGATCAGTGTGACACGGATGGTAACCAAATTGACGGCGAGAATGAGAAACTGGAGCTGCTGAAGGCGTTGAGGCTGTCGCAGACGAGGGCAAGAGAGGCGGAGAACAAGTCTGAGAGGTTGGAGAAGGAAAAAGACCATCTCTCTAATGCCTTGCTTGCGGAGGCTAAAGAGTTGTTTGCTTACAAGCAATGGGTGAGGTTGCTTGAGCTTCAAGTTTCAAGGTTGCAGTCACATTGGGCGGAGGAAGAGAATATTCCGGCAAGTTGTGGTTGTGGCAGATCAAAAGGAGACGATGATAGGGATGGCATCACTTGGGTTGTAGCTTTGGCGCTTTGTTTCGGCATCGCCGGCGTAGGATTCGCATTCGGATGCAGATTCTTGTACTGAAATTTCATTTTCGTACTGGAAAATATATAGGTGTATATATGTATATGTATATATATATATATATATATGAACAAGCACCTTGTAAACTGAAAACACAGGTCTATTTCGAACGAGATTCTTTGGGATAATATGTTTCTGATTTAGTGGTCCCATTGAGTATAGGACCCACTTTGCACTTCGCCATGGTCCCAAGGGCAGTTGCCGAATACGCGAATGCAGCAACACCTAACCATTGATGCAATGTCGACCTACATAGATCAATGGTTAAGAACTGTACACTCGCGCTTGAGCGACTGACCCTAGCACAGTTCAAAATTACTAAATAAAAGAGCTTATTAGAGTTTCCGATCCGTTTCCAGGTCATGGTTAAAATCAAGCACAAAATTGGATCAATGATCTGATCAGAGCTCCTCATTTCTTAATTATCCAGACTGGATGAGAACACCGAAAAGCTTGGCTAGAATTCACTCAGCTGGTTAAAGGAACTTACAGAGAAAAAGCGCTTTACAGTTTACACAGAGAAAAGCCCTTTACAGTTTACACAGAGAAAAGCCCAACCAGCTGTACATGTCTCGGCAACGCTGCCAGCTGTACATGTCTCGGCAACGCTGTGCTGGGAAGAAGCTATAAATAGAAAAGACGCTACTACTTGCTATACTCTGTCTATGTTACCTATTTCATATCATGCAACAATAATATAAGCCAACTGATAAGTAAACATCATGAGCGCTTCATATTCAAATGATGGCCAGGTGAATAGTCCTCAAATGGGTATAGCATTCGTCGCTCGTTCCAAAATACTCCAAACAGACCCAACAAATATGCTTCCCACACCGACATTCTATATGGTTGCACCCATCTATCTTCTCAATTGTATACCTGCAAACCGGGCAGCTCTTCACATGTTCTTTTCCTTTGCACCACTTCTTCAACGATGAATCTGGGTCTTCCTTGAACTCTCGGTACTGCTCACATGAGAGGTATGGATGATGTTCTAAATGGCACCTAGTACATGTCTCGGCATAACATGCACCACAAACAAATGGTTCACCGTCTGTTCCCGGAGCAGCCACCTGATACACAGAAGAGCAGTCGGGAGACGGGCAAAACCTGTAGATGCCCCCACTTGACGCAACAAATGCCCCCAATGAAGATCTAAATAGCTCCTCCAGCTTCTCACTTGGTAATAGAGATTTCAGATCACTGAACAAAATAAGAGACCTGCAACCCTTGTGTGCACAAAACATTGGGAAACTATCTTGGTTTTTAATTGCTGACTCACACTGCTCCACTAAACACGAGCGGCAAAATAAATGACTGCAGTCCTCAAGCCGGTATTCATCTTCAATCTCACACATACATATGGGGCAATCAACATCAGTCTTAAACCTCTGAGTTGAACTACCTGACATCTGTACAATCTCGTAAATACTCTCTTCTACTTTCTGCTTCACATCCTTGCTTCCATGGATGGAAATTACTTGACGGCGAACATTTAGACTAAAATCAGCCCCTGGGACCTTCTCTTTGAGCCCCCGGAGGTCTGGCCCAAACCTGTTAACAACCTCTTTCATCAACTCAGGAGGCAAGGCATTACCTTGAAGCCGGACCTCAAGCAGCTTATTGTCGTGGAGGGTTAAAAGGGCGTCGACCAATTTCTTCTCGACCACACCAACTTGGCCTGAAGAACCAAAGACCTGTACACTAAGGCTACGTCTGTCAAAAAGAATATAAGTTCCTGTCTCTCGCTGGAGTGCATGCATTAGACTGATGCCATCTCTGGAGAAAAGGATCTGTAAAACTGCTGGCGTAAGGCTGGCGTGGTCGATAGTCTTCCCTTTCACAAGCTCCTCCACACGTCTTCTCAGGTCTGCAACAATTTTTGTAGCATTGGCAGATATCTTCACTCGGTAGGAACCATTAGAATTTCTATCCAAATTGCATTCTACACCTGTAAACAACACAAAAATAAAAGACGGTCAAACACCCACATATGTCTAAGAAAACAGACCTATTGTGCTTAGTTTTAGCCATCGGTAGTATAAAACGAGTGACCAAAATAACAATATAATTGACAAGATATAGCTGAAGAGTGCATTAGATTGTAAATATTCCCATATAATTATGAAAATTAATATGCTTTAAGAAGAATGACAAGACTCAGTCAGTGCAAGAACCAAGTTCTTCAGAATGGTTTTTATCATAATGCAGCAGTTACATTTTGTTTCCAGGATATTCAAAAAACAGCCAAAAATATAACTACAAAAATCCCAACAAGACATGAAGGATGAATTAAAATGAAAAAAAAAGGGTGTGACACTAAACTAGTAGAAGAAAATGCCAATATACTTGCAACCACAGATAAATAGCTTGGATAAGAAACGGTACCATTTAGATGCATAAAACTTGAGAGTAAACCATCCAGCTGCTTCTTAATCACAAGATAGACAGGGGCAGGACAGGATAGAGAGCTATGAAATAACTGTTGGCACTTCATCTTTTGCCATGGAAGGAACCCAGGCAGTACTTTCCCTTCTAATTCTTCTAAAGCTCTCGCCGCTTCCAAATGTAATCTTCCGTCAAAAGTAATCAAAGCTCTCATGAAAACATTCTTTGGTTCAGGCTCGAAAACCTGAACACTGCAGCTATTGTGGGAATACCTCTTAGGCATAAAGTGTGATATTTCTTTTAAGAGTGCTTCTTCACAAGAACTACATGACGGATTTCCTACAGCATCTCCTCTCAGCAGGAAAAAATCAAGGATTCGCCTACTTGTAGCAGTCCTCAACACATTTAAAATTTCAGCCTCAGAAAGATCTTTGCTTAGTCCATATATCATGATAGCATCTGTGTCTCTTTTGCCAATCTCACAGCGAATTACTTTTCCTCCAACTTCAAGGTTAGAAAAGTCATCAATCATGGGATGGGTGTCATTCATGTGGCATTTAACAATTGCAGACCCCTTGCTTAGCCTACGAGGCCAATAAACCTTAGCTCTAACAGCGGGGAATGAAAACATTTTATGATCACCACCTACCTGCGAAGGAATAACCTTCAGTATGGAGCCATTAAATTCAGAATCGTTTAGCTCAGCTGCTTTTTGAGCCGCTTCAGGAGTTTGAAATGTTACCCTCACCCCCTTTCCTTTGTCAAAATTTTCCTGCCCAGTGCTGGTGAACTTGTGAATAGCACATATACTGCCAGAGATAGACTTTTCAAGCTCACTAAGTAACTCCTTATCATCTTCAGAGTCCAGCTTTGAATGAAATACATCAAAAGTCAAACACCTTTTTTGAAGCTCCAGATGTTTGATCTCAGCACCAGCTCCAAACAATGCTACAGGAGGCAACACGCCTGAACTGTGATATAAGCATTTCTCCAAGCATTCATTACACATCCATTTTTGTTCACGCTCCAAGGCATCATTTATAAAGCTTTCAACCCTATCCATGTTATGTGAAGTGGCAAACAACATAATCTCATTCTGACAGTAATCGACTTTGATGTTGATAAGTTCATCCTCGCAAATTGTCCTAATACGTGACACGAGATGAAGCAGATAATTGTTGCCCTTCCCACAAAATCTTTTAAGGACAGTAATGCCAAAACCAGTCAACATTTTCAGCTGAAGCTTTCGACTTTCCATCTTAGATACATCAAACAAAGGAGGAAGATAAAGCGTAGACAGAGAGTTGATATCAAAGGAGGTGACACACACCAAATACTGATTAGAAACCGACAGAATTTCACCAAAAACTACCCAACTAGGTTTCTCCCCGAATACTAGCAATGAACACGAAGGATGCAGTCTAACATGCTGCCCAGTTAATGCCACTTCATAACCAAGTTGATCATAACCTGAGAACATTGCAACATTATCTGCAAGGGAAGATAGTATAACCTTTTTCAAATGTTTATCACAACCAGTTGATTCATGTGGATCCCAACGCCAGGTACCAGAAATTATCATGTTGAGTTCATGTTTAAGGCAAGATTCCAATTCCATCACTGTGTCTTGGCATCTCCTCATAGTTTTTGCATTGATGCTGTTTTCCCAGCACCATGTGTTTCTCTTGTCTCGAGACAAGGAATCCCATTTCTTGTACACAGAGAGAAGGGTAAAGAGGTCACCATCACGATGACAAAATTTCACCTTAATGCAGTCTGATCTAATCTTTTCTTCGTCATTACCAACTCTACAAAATATGCTACTGGAATTTGCCATCACAGCTGCAAGAACAAGACCCTCGATACGCAAGTTAAGGTCACAACAACCAAGAATTAATTTACCAAGCCGAGGTTCAACACCCAACTTAACCAAGCACCGACCTTCCTGAGTTAACTCAAAAACATCATCCTTGTGCATAACAGCTCCCAACTGAACAAGGTTCCTGATAGCCAAGTCAACAGCTTCAGAAGAAGGTGCATCGATAAATTTAAAGTCTTGTAAATTCTTGATGCCTAAAGCCAGAATCCTCAGAACTGCAACACCAAGATGAACTCTGCGGATCTCAGGTTCCTGACAAGGAGGCATAGCCTCAAAGTCATATTCTGAGTAAAGTCTATAACATACTCCTGGTTCAGTTCTTCCAGCACGGCCACTTCTTTGATTAGCAGAACTCTGGCTGATCATACAAACTCTGAGAACATTCATGCCACTTCCTGGTTCAAATTTGCTTTCTTTAGCCATACCAGAATCAATCACATACTTTACCCCGGGAATTGTCAGTGATGTCTCAGCCAGATTAGTGGCGAATATAATTTTCCTTTTTCCAGGGTAGTTTTTGAAAACATTAAATTGGTCTTCAAAAGAAAGTTTTCCATGCAATGGCAATGCAATTGCACCAGGTGCTATAAACTTCTCACAGCACCATTCTACTTCCAACTGGGAAGTCAAAAAGGCGAGAATCGTCCCCTCTTTCTCTTTCCTGTGTACATCTGCTGCTACCCTCAGCACATCAGAAACATAGGAAGCATCACTAGAAGTTCCTTCGCTGAAACACGGTACATATCTAACATCTACAGGAAAGCTCCTCCCCGTTACAGAAAATATTCCACAACCATAAAAATAGTCGGACACCACATTGGCATCAACTGTTGCTGACATTATAATAAGTCGTAAACTAGACCTTCGACCAAGTAAATCTTTTAAACATGCCAACAGGAGATC